GACAATTAAAGTACGATATAAAAGGCTACGCATGGTTGTCAAAAGGTCAACAGGTACATCGGTTTAAACGACTTAGACCAATATTGAAACGTGTGATTAACTTAATAAACATCAGGGTGTTAAGAGTCGTACACGCCATAACCCAACACAAGGTTACACAGCTTTGACCGTAGGTGTACGTGCTCAAGAGACAATCATATGACTAACCTGTTGTATCTTGCCTTTGAGAATAACGCGGGCTTGTATATCGTACAAAATACATGCGCAAACCTTTGTTAATAATTACTGAGTCATTGACGTAATAAAAACTTTTTAAAGGGTATAAAAATATATGTTGAAATTTCCGTCCCTTAACACTGTGTTGAATCGGGCGGCCCAGGAGTGGACGTTTGTTGATTTCTCGGTGCCTTGGGACAAGAACGTGGTGTTTAAGGAGAATGAAAAGGTTGCCAAGGTATGCACCTTTGGCAAAGGAGATAAGGAAGATGCAACGGGTACCAACAAAGGTAGTGCCATTAGTAGCCTGAGTATCAGGCTCTCTCGAAAGGGTTTGGGGCGGAGCGAGAAAGGAGAGAGAGCCTGACACAATCTTCTATCKAGAGCCGTGTTCTGCGGCCTTGTCATGGCCGAAACGCTGATTGGTCTAGAGGACAAAGGAAGTKACAGRAATKAAAATATATATAATTATTATGTTACCGAACGACGCTATGACTCTTGATATAAGTGAAGAACAGTTTGGGAAAGCTTTAATAGTACCCTGGTTCCAGAGGCTTGTCTTTTATTCTTTTTTTTACTACGTTATCAAGCCGTTCTTGAATCGGTTCGTTTTTACACTAACAAAAACAAACTTAACGGAAACGTCTCATATAACACTAACATTACACCGACCAATAACGAAGTAAAAACAATTCAAGATTATAGTTATCAACCCTCTAGAGCTTATTAGAAGACCACAAGTTGAGAATCTGGTAAAAATCGGCATAAAAGCTGCGACTTTTAAAACCATGTGATAGCCAAATTTTGACATATAAACGCCACATCGCGAAATCAAGCAAACCGGAACACCTTTTAATCGGCTTGAATTTATTGTCACGCGTCACGCATTGAAATGTAAATATGTTTCAGGTAAAGGTAAATAACACTCTGTTCGCAGGGTATTACACATCATGTGTAGTATTATTGTTAGGTTTTATTTTTGTTTTTTTTTTGGTGAAAAATATAAAAGGTTTTGCAAAGTTATGAGTGTTTCTATTTGTGTTGGCTCTTATAGAAGATTGTGTCAGGCTCTCTCTCCTTTCTTTCTCCGCCCCAAACCCTTTCGAGAGAGCCTGATACTCAGGCTATTCAATTAGTTGTCGGTTGTCTTGGGGTTGTGTCGAGTAGGTTTGTGGGATACCTAAAAGGTTTAGGTATTTTAGGTATCCCAGATGTTCTGGGTGGTATGCAGACGTCTGCAGTCATTGGGACCACCCTCATTTTACAAAAGGTGCTTAGCCTCTAAGCTCCTGGATGGAGCCGAGGCTAAGTTAAATTTACACCTGCAGTATGAATGATATCTCTACTCTGGTTGTCTGTTAAACAGAAATTCGTGATTATTATTGTTATTGTTATTATTATTGCTATATTTTTTTAGTAAAGCAGACAATGTTGTCATCTAAGTCAATGATTTAACTTTGTCGTTTAAGTCAATCAACCGGCCATGATAATTTATAATGTTTTTCATACCAGGGAAAGCCAGCAATGTGGAGAGACTTCCATACTGCTACAGCTGTTGGTCATGATATGTACATATTTGGTGGCAGAGGTAATCATCTCAGTTTATATCCTCAAATTATCTTTCTTACCGTATCCAGCCGAAGGCCTGCGGCACGGTTTTAACATGCTGCGACTCTATTTTTTATTACGTCGCTGTTTAGCGAACTAAGAATCCCAGGTACGATCCTCAACTCGAGCACTTTATAAAATTATTATTTTTCTTTCTTTCTTTCTTTTT